TCATACAGTTAATGACCTGAGTAATTCAAGTCTGGTGCAAAAACGCATGATCGCACGGGCCCGCCCAGTGCGTTCCAGCCCGGGTAATTTGTTTAGCTAAAAGCATTCGCCGAAAAAGCCGGCGCCGGCAGCAACAAAAACTGCGGGGAACTGTGCAAAAAACGCATCTTCGCATGGACAGCCCGTGCGTTGGCCAACTATTTTTATGCGTTTTTTGCAAAATTCCCCACAGTTTTTGTTGCTGCCGGCGCCGGCTTTCTCGGCAAATGCTTTTGGCTAAACAAATTAAAACTGGCCGCCAGAACTATCAGAAAACACCCCCTTAAAATTTCAGCTTCCTAGTTTCTCTGGCTTCTGAGTTAGCACCTTACTGGAAAAAAATTTTCACGGTCCTGTGCGTGTTTACCACGCATACCCGAGAGTTGGATTTGAGTTGAACTTAGGTGGACAGGGTATATCCTCTTAAAATTTCAGCCCTTTAGCTTCTCAGGTGAGTATCAACTTAACCGAAAAAGTTTTGGCGGGCCCGTATGCGGGTACCACGCTTGCTCGGCGGCTGGGTTTGAGCTCACTAATATCCGCTTGGACGGAGAAAATCACCCTAAAATTTCAGCTTTCTAGCTTTTCAGATCCCCGAGTTATGAACTTACCCAAAAAAACTTTGACGGGCTCGTACGCGGGTACCATGCTGGTAATGGCCCCCATTTTAGGGATTGGGGTCCGTACACGCATCTAGATTAAGTTCCCAAAATTTCAGCTCTGTAGCTTTTGTAGGTCTTGAGATGAAAAACCGTGACAGACGCACAGAGGGACACACAGGCACACAGACACACAGACAACCCCTCGTCTTTTTCTGCACTGCATGGCTGCAAAAAACACATAAAAATGTAAAATTATGTTAAAGCAATGTTGAGAAATTGAATTTTTAGAGAATAATGTCCACTCTCTAATGAATAAAGTTTGGCATGGCATCCGTCTGATGAATCGGCAACTAACGTGAGGGAAATGTGCATTCGTAGTCTGCAACACGCGTCAGTGACGTCTCGGAACTATTAAAATCTTGCCTATTGCTTCTGTCGTGAAACCGTTATAATTCCTTTCGGTAACGAAACGAAAATCAGGCGGTCAGCAAGCTGATCATTGGACGAACGCAGCGCTAGTCAGGAGACGTAGAAAAGTTGTTAGCTATGGCAGCTGATAAAGCATTACAGTTTACATCATATCAAAGTACAAAAGTTGAAGGCACTCGAAAGTGACCTGAATGACCGAGGTGAATTAGCTGCCGGGAAAGTTATCCTAAACTGAGAGTTGTCCAGGAGCCATGCCGATAAAGATTATCACGGATGCGACAACTCTTGATGATAAACGCGAGAGTTCAAGCCAATAAGTTTAATATTGCAAATTAGAACACTCCATTCTCAAATTTAGCTTCAGAAAACGATCAGCACCGAGCAAATTCGTCTTCCCTGATGATTTAGAAATTAAACGCCTAGCCAGCAGTTTATTCTCATAAAAAGCTCTTCCCACTAATTAAATATAATTATTGTTCGTATCAGGTGTTAACTTCCCTTCTTCCTTCCCCTCTCAATCTGTCTGCTTCTTCACTTGTATCTCTTTCTTTTGCCTATTCGTCTTGTAAATTTGTTACATGACTATCCAAAACATGGCGGGTAAGAGGCTGTACTGATGATTCCCGCTCCTACTCGCATGCTAGTTTAGTCTGTGTATACAGCTAAGGATGAAACACAGGCTACATCATAAAACTCCTTCGTACACGTGACATTCGGGTGAAATCCTTTCATTCTTCTTTTTCAAGCTAATAATACGATTATTTTCAGTACGTCTATATTTGGTTCCGTGAGCAAGCAGTGGAGCATGAAGTGTGTGGCGGCAGCGGCGCAACGTTCTCACGTATTGGCAGACTCTGTCGGTCGGATTACGGTGGTCCAAGATCGTATGCGAACGAATGGACCTCTTTTGTGAAAGCTCGCCTAAACTGCTCCATTCCCGGCAACTATCCGTTCTATTTTGATCAGGTTACTACATACTGCAACAAGTTGTCTTGGTACCACTAGTGAGAAGTACTGTGTTCTTTCTTGATGCTTTCAAGAAGTACAAGAAAAACAGTCGTCGTTTCCTGGGTTTTCCTGCTCAAATTGGTTTAACTATCCAGAAAGCGTGTTAGAGAGATTTGCTAGTAGCTCAGAATCCGGGCTTAAAGAATCGCCAGAATTCAGAAACAAAAGAATTTATTTTACAGATTGAAGCGACAGCAGTGCCAATAAATGGACGCTATTCATCCGAGAATAAGCAGTTCGCCAGGCTCGTGTACGCCGTATTTCGCAGCCCATTGGCCGGTATTTCTTCGTCCGCTATCTGTGCATTCGATATTCAACAAATCAACGCGATCATCTCGAAATCAACGTTTGGCCGTCGAAACAGCATGCAAACATTGTGGCTGGATGCGATGGATATTGCAGCGGCATCAAAGCGTCGTTCTGGCTAGTTCCTTGATCGCACTAACACAACAGAAAAAGCTTGCATCTGTATAAGTATCCCCCGGAAAACGACGTTTTGTAAGAGGAATTTGTTAATTTCACCACTTAGATTACTTCCCACCATCCCTGCGCCTCAAAAGAAGTGACGTGGGAGAGGTTTTTTTCTGACTAGCATGACAAATTATTGTCAACTTCACCAGCGATTAGTCATCCAGATGTATTTTTCAATGATGGTGGTTCTGTTCGGATTACGAGCAGAATCACTTGAAATCCGACTACTGTAATAGCGAAAACATTGAGCTGCTCATCCACGTAAGCTAGAACCGCATTAAAAATCGTTAGCGACGCGCACTGCGCGTGCCTCGTGCGATCATGCGTTTTTGCAGTGTTTCGTGCTGTAATAAGATCACTCGAAATTCCGCTAGCTAGAACCTCTGACAAACTGGTCCTAGAATTTCGGGAAGTTAATTGTCCATGCTACATTTGGACAGGGAACATTCCCTTGAAATCCCAGGTTCTCAGCTTTCCCATTTCCCGAGTTATCCAAATTCCAGCCAGAAAATTTCGCGGGGTCGTACATGGCAACCACGCACACCGAGGGGCTGGATTTGATAAATTTAAGTTGTAGATGAGTTGGGAACATTCCCTGAAAGTTTCGGCCTCCCAGCTTCCCTGGTTTCGGAGTTAGCCATTTTCCCGCCAAAAAATTTTACGAGACCGTACGTGACAACCGCGCATAACGGGGGGCTGAATTTGATAAATTTAAGTTGTAGATGAACTGGGAACATTTGCTGAAAGTTTCAACCCCAAGCTTTCTTGGTTCCCGAGCTAGCGATTTTCGCGCCAGGAGACCTCACGGGGCCATTCGCGGGAAACGCGCACACTTGGGAGCTCAGTTTAGAATCTTTGAGTTCTATGTGGGCAGGGAATATAATCCCAAAATCTCAGCTTTCCAGCTTTTCTGGTTTCCAAGTTAGCGACTTTTCCGCCAAAACTTTGAGACGCTCGTACGCGGGGCCCAGACGTGCATGAGGATTAGTGTCGCGGTCCTGGGGTGGCACTTGACCAGGGAATCCACTAGTAAAATTTTGGCGCCGGAGCTTGCTTGGGTGCCGAGTTGAAATACCCGGACACACACACACACACAC